TATAAACAATAACAAAAATAGACAATTCAAAAAAATTATGGGCATAAAATAAATAATGTTTCAAATGATGGTTCAAATAAAAAAAATCTGTAAAAATAAATTTGATAAAGTACAAATGAAAATAAAGCTTTTTTTAAACTTTTGCAATCAGAAGCTGCTCTTCATATTAGTGACAAACAATAACAGTAACAACAGCTTTTTGACAAGTTTAAAGTTTCTTTAAAATACATTCAAAATGTTTAAAAATAAACTACAAAAATTAATTTGATGAAGTGCAAATGAAAGCAGTATCTGCAACTGTATTTGATGATTTGAACTCTTAAAATACTGCATGATAGAACCAGAAGTTGTACTTCATATTAGTGACAAACTTTGGCCTTTTTTTGACGAGTTGCCTTCATTTTTCTTTATTTTTCATTTCCATTCTCGGCAGGTTTCTAAGGTTCTTCTTCTATATATTAAAAAAAAGTTGTTAAAGATCTGAGTGGTGCACTACTGCTACTAGTGGTGAGAAAGTGCATTGCACCTTATTCAAAATCAATGCGGTCCCACGGCCCTCTGTGGCCCAAAGTTAAAAACTGTTGTTCTTTTGAGGCCCTCAAGGTGGCGCTCGTGGGCCACAGGCTAAGAATCTCTGCTCTAACTGACCCAAAACTAACATCTCTTCTACTCTGAAAACAACAGTCTTGTAGTGAAGTATGGTGGTGGCAGCATCATGATGCGGGGATGATTTTCATCGTCAGGGACCAGGAAACTGGTCATGGTTAAAGGAGAGATGGATGGAGCAAAATACAGAGAAATGATTGAGAGGAACCTGTTTGAGTCTTGCAGAGATTTAAGACTGAGAGCAGCAGGACAAGGACCTCTAACACTCCACTGGTTATGTGACAAATAATACTGCACATGTGCATGCACTGCTAGTTTGATATTTTAGAATGTTTTAACCTGTGGTGGGCAGCACTAATCTGAATATTAGTTGCACTAGCCCTAAAGCACTAATGCGACTTTCACACCGAACGCCTTTTGAGCAGCAAAAAAGCACACAACGCATCCAGCTGGACGCACTACGTTCAGACACAGAGCAGGACACGTGTCTGAACAGGGAGGAGGGTTTGGTTTTTTTCCGGTCTGTCCTCAGCGGGTGAAATAAAGATTTCACCCTCAACTGTGAACCATAATGTTGATCAATAACATTTAAAGACCTCAGTCAGTGCTTATAAATTTAGCAAGTACTAATCCACTAATGGCTCTAATGCTAAAACACTAACAGACAGTTTCTGATTCCTAATGTCGGATTCTGATAGTGTACTGTTTCTAAATCAAAACGTATCTTTTTCTATTCTTGCACAATTCTTTACATTATATTTTTTATCAGTAGTCGTATCATGGCTAGTCAGTGTTGATTTTGTTTTGTGTGTACTATCTATAGTTTGTAAAGTAGTGTGTGAACTTCTGTACTGATGCTGCTGTGACACCGGAATATCCTCTCAGCGGGACAATAAAGGCTATTCTATTCTATTCTATTCTATTCTATTCTATTCTATTCTATTTAAAAAATAGCAAAAGCCCGAAAGCACTAATCAAGAAATTAGTTACCCTTTTAGTGATTTAGGGGAACTGTGCCCATCACTGGTTTTAACCATTCTTCCCATTTACCATTTTTATTATTACTTAGAAATAAATAAAAAAACATTTGATTGAAAGGCATGAAATAAAAAGATTACCAAGGGATAAATAAAACTACTTGAACGTCTTGTTCATTCAGTTTCCACTAAAAGAAACTTGACTAATGTTCACACTGCAGGGAGTTTAAAACCCTGACACATGGCAGGTATTACAGCCTAAAAAAGGCTTTACCTCCAAAACCAGCATCCCAGTTTCTGTTGGGATCAACTCCGATGCAGGAAGAACCAGGGTTTGGTTTCCTTGTCTTTCGCCACATACGATTCTGAAAACATCAGTAATGGCTTCAAGGTTACCGCTCTGGAAAACTTTCGACAGTAAAACCAACACTTGCAGGGGATGACTGTAAAGTCCTGACTCACAGAGGTGTGGGTAAAGTAATATCCATCAGGATTGGTCACGATCTCCAGGAAGATGTCCATGTTGTCGAGGATGGCGGTGAGAGCTGGGTCACTGCCGTAGTCTTTCACTATCTGCAATTCATTCACAGCACGTCAGTGTTTCAGAGGCAGCAGAGACGAGGTGTAAAGTACAAATAATTGTACCTTCTTGGCAAACCAGATGCCGCTGGCCTGAGTGACCCACTCTCTGGAGTGGATCCCAGTGTCGATCCAGATGGCAGGACGGTTGGTTCCACCAGTGCTGAACTGAACAAAATAAGCAGGAGCAGAGCTGCCATCATACTGTGTTTCACATAGAAGTAAAATGAACTAAAGAATTTGTGGTACCACTTTACAATAAGACTCCCCTTATAGATGGCTTTTAAAGAGTTTATAGATAGGTTATTAATTCATCTGTAAACACTTTATAAATTATCAATAAGTGTTTATTATGCATTAATTAAGGTAAAAAAAAAGAGACTAAACTGTCTGGTTTCTTTCCAAATACTGAACCAAATCTGTTTGTGTATTAAAAATTTCAGACTAGTTCACTACCTTGTAAGCACAATAATGATTAGGAAATGCATATTTTAAAATATAATATTGAAATGTATTACTGCATTATAAATATCCACAAATATTAAAGGGATCCTCATTTTAAAGTGTAAAACTACACTATTTTGGATGGGGTGGGATTATTTGGTATATTATAAATTACATTTTTTAACTTTTTTGATGCATCATCATTGTTAACAGTAGTTACATGTTTGAACAATAATTTCAAATATGGATAATCAACACTAAGTTTTAAAAATGATGATTTTTTTCACATTAAATACTAAGTTTTGGCTTTTATAAATGTTTGTTATTAATAAATAGTGTACTGTATTACACTTTACGATAAGTCTCCCTTTGAAAGTTGTGAATATTTATAATGCAGTAATACAATATTAATATATTAAAATATGTGTTTCTTATCACTATTGTGCTTACAATGTAGTAACCTAATCTGAAATGTTTAATAAGCACCTTTAGATGTAATATGTACGTGAAAAGATTTGTCTCATTATTTGGTAAGAAACCGATAATTAACATTTATTAATGATTTATGAAGTGTTTACAGATGAATTAATAACCTATCTATAAATCTTTATAAGTCATCTATAAGGGGAGCCTTATTGTAAAGTGGTACTGAATTTGCATTTCCTGCAATAATGCAGAGTGAACGCTTAATGCTCAACGATATTTGCTGACTAACTAAAAGAGCTGAGCCAAAACATAAATTTAAAAAGTAGCTGAAGTTAGCACAAAGGAATAAAGAGAAATGTTTGCTGAATTAAACAGTGAAAAAGTGAAATTATCACAAATAGGTGAAGTTAGATGAAAAAATCTGAAATTTGCTAAAAAATCCCTTAAAGCACAAAAAAACGGATGAAATTAGCAGAAAACAGCTGAAAGAAGCATAAAAAGCTTAAACTAGAAGAAAGAAGCACAAAAGAGTTGAAATTAGCAGAAGGATTGCAAAAATAAAGTCAGAATAAAAGTTAAAAACAAAAAAAAAATCAGCTTAATTGAAGCTGATGCTGTATTAGTACAAAAGAGTTGGAACAAACGCAGAACCCAAACAAAAATAATAAAAAAAAACAGTAAAGTTTTATGGACATTTTGAAGGATTTTTAGAATGTTGAAGGCAACTCCATTCATTTTTTAATAAGAAAAAAATGGCAGAAATAGCTAGATATCTCAGAGTATAAATTGCTGAAGTACTAAAAGTCATCGCCGTAATGTCCTGAAGGAGCTGAACATTTCGATATATAAATTGCAGAGGTACTGTATAGTAACTAAGTACATTTACTTTGTCACAGTACTTTAGTTTTGTTGAGGATTTGTAATTTTACCAATTTTTAAATAGTTTTACTTTAATTTCGTTGCATTTTAAAGCTAAATACGACACTTTTACTTCTTTAGTTTAAAATGTAACACCTAGTTACTCGTTACAAAACTAAATCTGTTCAAACTCATCATGAAAGATGTTTCTGCACTCAAAATAATGAAGTGTTGAATTTACTCAACAAAGTCATGTCAACTGGCTCCACTGAGCCTAGCTGAGTAAACTGAGCAAAGATTATACATATATTGTTCAATTTACTCAACCTGACTTAGTGGAACCAGTTTGGTTCAGTAAATTCAACAGTTTATTTCATAGAGAGTGTGTAAAAGTACTTTAACTTTTACTTCCCCAATTTTTGTGAACGGTTTTTATGACTTTTACATGAGTAGTTTTCTCATCCGTGAAATTTATTTTTACCAAAGTCATTTTCTGTTCATGTGATTTTACTTTTAGTTATTTTTTTCAAGTACTTTAAAGACCTCTGATAAATTGATGAAATAACACAAAATGTACTGAGCAAGATATGAGCTGAAAAACACATGAAAGAAAAATCGATCTTTTGCCTGATAAGCATTCACACAAATAAAAGTTTAGAAAGCAATTAGACCGTTGCCAGTGCAGCTACTGCTCAGGATCCCAATGTTCATCAATCAATCTGAGTCACGAAAGAGCAGAACCATTTTCTGCTGAGTCATTGAAAGCTGCTCAATTTAGTTATTTATTGTATTGTACAGTAGTATTTCTCTTCCTTTTTAAATGTAACTAGAAGTGATTGTTTTCATTTATATTAGTTGTTTTTACCTTGAGCACATTAAGAGGACGGCCCTCGTAGCTCTGACCAATCACAAGCTTGCTGACCATGTTGGGATTTTCAGCCACCAGCATGTCCTGGAAACTGTAGATCTGAAACAAAGACAAGCCTCCTGCCATGAATACACACCAGTCACCTGAGACCACAGAGTTCTGTAGCTCTAATGAAGATGATGATTTCTTAATGTCTGTAAGTATCTGATAAACTATGAGCACGGACCTCGTTGATGGGGTGGTACCTGGCGTAGTCAAAGCTGTCAGTGTTTCTTGGTTGACCAACACGAGCAGCCGAGTCCATCTCTTCCTGCTCCCTATCCAACATTTCCTAAAAGTTACAATGAGAAAAACAAAAATAATAGCAATTTTGAACAACAGAAAAACAATTTGGAAATAATTAAATCCAAGGTCGGCTCCAGTTTACCTGCAAGTTCTCAATCATGGTGGAGTAGTTAATGTTGAAGTTTTCCAAATAACTCTTGAAAGAATGCAAGGTATGAGAGGGAACTCTGATGTCCACAGGAGAGAAAGCATCAGTCACCCCCATCCAGATGTCCAACTAAAACAAACAAAACATATGTAGTATTTTTTTCTAATGAGAATTCATACATTAAATCAAAGAGTTTCATAATATTTTAAAAATGAATTGAAATTATTTTTGAGAAACCTCAAACTCTATCATCTTCTCCAGTTCCTTGATAAGAGACAGCTGGACGTCATTTTTTGGGACAATCCGGAGCACCTGATGCCTGAAAAAGAGAACAGAGCACCAGGAGTTAACATCAATTTATTACTGAAGTTTTATTACAAAATCAGAGTGAGCCTTAACTGACAGGCACCGACAAGATATACATTTAGATCGAGTTGGATAAGATTGCTCTACCCATTATAAGTTTATTTTTACACTGTACAATGTACACAATTAATATTAGATGTAAATTCGATGCTTGGGATCCTACTGACGGGCAGAGGTGTCAAAAGTATTAACATTCATTGCTTAAAGGAGACCAATTATGGGTCCTAGAAATGTTTATGGTATGTCTGTGGGCTATCCAGACCATGTTCATTCAATTTAATGCACAAAATAATTCTCAGATAA